GACCTCAACCCGTGTCATCCTTTATCTCATGAACTACATTGCGGGTGAAAGGCATATCACCTCATTATGCAAGAAGTTATCCCCACCTCTCGTCACATTGCTTTCCAAGCCTCCTGAGGTTCAATATCTGGCACTGCGCAATGCTATCTTAATTATCCAGAAGAGACCGGAGGTCTTGCGGAATGACATCCGAGTGTTCTTCTGCAATTACAACGACCCAATCTATGTCAAAGTCACCAAGCTAGAGTTAATGTTTATGCTAACCACAAAAGAGAACATCTCCATTGTATTGGCAGAGCTCCGAGAGTAAGAACTTCTAGACAGATTGGCGGTATTAAACCTGTACTGACATCCTTCGCAGATATGCCACTGAAATTGACGTTCACTTTGTGCGCAAAGCCGTCCGGGCCATTGGCAAATTGGCAATCAAGATTGAATCTGCTGCAAAGCAGTGCATTGACACGCTCTTGGAGCTTGTTGATGCCAAGATCCCATATATTGTTCAAGAGGCAACAGTGGTGATTCGCAACATTTTCCGCAAATACCCCAACCAGTACGAAAGTATAATCAGCCATGTTATCCGAAACATCGACGATCTGGACGAACCCGAAGCCAAGGCAGCCGTCATTTGGATCATTGGCCAGTATGCGGACCGCATCGATAACTCAGATGGCCTCCTTCAGGATTACTTGGCCACATTCCACGACGAAACAGTCGAAGTGCAGCTGGCCCTGCTCACGGCTACCGTCAAACTTTTCATCCAACGCCCCACCAAGGGCCAGCAGCTCGTACCACAGGTACTGAAATGGTGCACCGAAGAAACAGATGACCCTGATCTTCGTGACCGTGGTTACATGTACTGGCGCTTGCTGTCGACGAACCCAGCAACCGCCAAGCAGGTGGTCATGGGCCAAAAACCCCCAATCACGGCCGAGAGCGAAAAGCTAGACCCACGCACTCTCGAGGAATTGTGTCTAAATGTCGGCACTCTAGCGACCGTCTACCTCAAGCCCATCCACCAAGTCTTCCGCGCTGCCCGTCCTCGGCGTCTCCTACCCAGCCCAGCCCTGCAGCGTGCTCCCATCGACGACGGCACAGGCAACATGCTTGAATACAACCCTCCCTCCGCAAATATGGCCTCCACCTCAACCAGTAATAGCGGTCTAGCCACAATCATCACCACAGGTGAGCCCGTCACGCCAATCTACACTGGGCCTCCGCCTTCCCTTCCCGTTGGCCCGGGCGTCAACTCCGCAACTACAGGCCCCAGCAACATGAACGAGGCAGCAGATGCAGCAGACGCTTACTTCAGTGGTATCGGCTCCCAGCAAATGGCTTCCCTGGACCTTGATGGTACCAATGGTGGAGGTGCGCCTCAGTCACAGTACGTTGTGACCCAAAATCAGCAACAGGTGTATCAGCCGCAACTGGCTGGTGGAGCTGCCACAGGCGAGCTACTATTGTTATAATTCAGCTTAGAGGGGGATGTACTTGTACATGTAGATGGAAAACGTTTCTCATGCGGCCTGCACCTAGTAATTACATATATTTTCACCCTTTTAGTTTGAAATTTCTAGGGTTTCTGTTATCTACGTCTGGTATCAAAAATTCCTATCCCAGAGCAGGTATAGATTTTGTTTAAACACACTCCCATGGAGGAATTGAAATATGTAGAGTATTTCTCGTTGATCTAATGCTTTCATCAAGTAACTGATTTTCTTCTACCTGACACAAATACTCTCCATGCTGCATTAACCATCTGCCTTCAAAGAAGCAGCGCCAGCAGACCAGGGGACACATGAAACAGCGGACGCCCACCAAATAAATCGCGATAATCCAACTTGAACTTGATTTTGAACGGACCAGGAAGCCTTGAGCTTCCATGAGCCATGGACGGGGAACACTCGAAAAATAAAAAAGGAAAACAAGACACAGAAACAAGAAACGTGAGGGGGAAAAGGGGGGGGGGGGGGGGAGCAATGAGTATAATATGGAAAATAACAAACAAAGTAGGCAGAGAAAAAGAAAGAAAATTCATCTCAAGTCATGTCCGTTCCTCTTCTTGTAAGCAGAAGGTTCCCACCACTCTTCGCTTTTTTTTTCTTTTCAACTCTCGGCACACTTATGAGACACAGGCCCGTTTAGTAGACGCGAGCGAGGTTACGCAGGTACCAGTCGACCAGACGGCGGCCGGCCTTGGTCTCGCTGACGTGGATCAGGTCGTCCTCAAGAGCGTAGTCGAGATCGTTGGCAATGGCAGGCTCGCCATCCAGGAGGCCACCGTCGACCCAGCGAATCTGGCGGCTGCGCTGCTTGTTAACGAGCAACCACGAGCGGAGCTGCTCGGGGGACACCTCGAGGAAACCTGCAAGTTTCTTGAGGTCCATGGTGGTGTAGAGCTTGAGGTAAGAGCGGATGGTGGGGTTGAACAGGGTGTTCTTGACCTCGTCCATGAAAATGGCGGTGTGGTGGTCGACGGGGTCGACGTTGGAGGCTGGGTTGTCGAAGTCGGGAGGAGTGGGGTTGATGAACTTGGGGCAGGAAGAGCGGAAGAGCTCCTCGAAGACGGGCAGGGCCTCAGGGCCACCCTTCTGCATGCGGTAGAATTGCTCGCCGTACTTCTCACGGACGGCCGAGTGGATGGTATCATCCAGACGGGTGGGGTGGAGAGCGACACAGATGGCGATCAGGGCGTACATCTGGTCGTTCTTCTTGGCGATGGCCTCGTAGTTGTTGCCTCCCTTCTGGAAGTTCTTTGTCCGGGACACATACACGAGGATGTGGCTGAACATGCGGATGGCATCGCCGTAGCGGCGCATCATCATGTAGGAGAAGCCCACGTAGTAGTAGGTGGTGAAGTGGGCGGCCATCACGCGGGCGAACATGGCCTTCTTGTTCATCTCGACATCGTCGAGGATCTTCAGGGCAAGACTGAAGTCACCGAGCAGGCAGTGCACGCGGAGCAGTCCGATGATCGAGAAGTAACCGAGCATCTTGTACAAGGGGCGCGAACCGTACTCGCCAGCGACGGCCATTGGGTCCTCTCCCCGCTTAGTGGCGTTCAATTGCTCGCTGATCTGCGAGCGCTGGATGAGAGAGTAGAGCACGTTCAGCACTGAGTAGCAGCCCCAGGTGTTCGGGTTCTCGCGGAGCAGCTGGCTCTCCTCCTCGTTGGATCCAGTGCGAGCAACGCGGTTGCGGTAACGGCAGAAAGATTCGAATTGGTAGATGAACTCGTCAATAACTTCCCAAGCCCAGTAGTACTGATAGTAGAGAAAAGCATCGTTAGTTTTCTGTAGTGTCTTTTGAGGGGTGGATCGACCTGTTGATTTCACGAATGCCAAGATTTTCCTTTTCATTTATGGCGTTCAAACAACCGGTCGGCGAAACGGGACACCTACGTTAGGAACCTCCAAGTCCACGGGGCCATCGGAGTTCAGGATGTAGTGGAAGAGACTGCAGTAGTTGTCGTAGCTAGCGAATTTGGTCTCAAGGGTAGCCTGATATTCCAGCGGGGTGGCGGCGGCGGCCAGCTGGGCCTGGAGGTCTTGGGCCTGCCCGGCGCCGTGGGATATGGTCTGGTCCAGCTCGCTCATTCCATCGTCGTAGTTGACCTGCTCGCGGTAGTCGTTGACCATAGCTTCCTCCTCATTATCGGACTCATCGTTCAAGTTGGGGCGCGCATTGGCGCGGTCTTCGTAGGACATGTTGAGTGGGAGGCGAGAAAGAAAAAAGTCAAAAATGCAGTAAGATGCCGAGATGAAACGGCAGTGAGGGAGCGGAAGAGGCGAGGTGGGGAGGGGGTAGGATAGCGTCGGCGTGTGCGATTTGCCAAAGAAGTCGAATTTTGAGGGTTTTCGCTTGGGTGTTTGTGCTTATCTTATCTGGGCATAAGCATCATGGATGACTCAGCTATCCGGACTTTGTGCATGGTGCACTCAGGACGGTATAAGTACATGGTACCTGGGCCGTCACCTATTTTAGCCAGCTATTCTTGTACTGTCTACTTCTATCTTCAATATAATCCTAACACCAACACTATAGCTTCACAACTACCTATGTAGATATCTAAGTACCTATGTAAGTGGAAAATTAACAAGTAGAATGAAGGAGGAAACATTTCTAGAGTACGTATGACCATGCTGATAGAAGGGGCTCTAGACATTCTCGACGGACTTGGGTTTGTTTACTTCTTTTTGGCTGTTGTGCGTCTTGATATAAAAGGTCATCGTGGGAATGCTCTCTATTTCTAACGTTTATTAAAGACTAATCCAGTCCACTATGCATAACGACTTGAACTATCTACATGCATGTATATATCTACTCCCGTCTAGTCAAAGTGTGTGGCAACTGATTACAAAAGCCTAACACACAGACGTATAGGGCCCAACGGTGTCACAGCAGGCAGAAGACGGTTGGCTTCAGCACTTTACTAGGTCAATTCAACTCGATCCACATTTTTGTTCTTTCTCGAGGAATGCTGGGAAGTTCAGCACTAGAGAAAAACAAGATTTCTCGAGTGTGTGGCTTCATTAACTAGCTAGGTGTGAAGTACGGAGGGAAAAGACTTCCCGGTGGATCAGAGGCCGGCAACTGGTCGCCTGTCATCGGCTACCATTGTTTTAGGTGTAGATGACAACCCCTGCCCTTCCCCTCAGCCAACATCGCCCTTTATTCCCCTCCTTTTTGCCTCCAACCCACAGACGGTGATACTGCACACCCTCATCTCTGACCCAAGTACCAGGAAGACAGAGCTTGCGCTGGCCATTGCCGAAGAGTTGGATAGGCCAGTACCAATGTTTACTCCGTCGTGAACGGTTTTCTGGGATCTTGCAGCTTTTCCTCCACACCCTCGTTCTAGTCCTGCCGTCGAGATATATCCAATCCCGCATTCCACCGTCTTTTTCATCGAAGGCTGCAGCAGGATGAACTCTCTTCCGATATATTTCACGTGGGAGTGGCATGAATACAGCCACAGACACAGGCGAAATGCCTGAGTTTCAGGGCTCAAGACTCCTCCAATTTTCCGGATCATCGAATATTCCAATGGCCTCAGGTGATAATCGGATGTTCAGGTGCAGCGCGTTCTTTCTGATCTCATGAATCGCGTCGGCTGTTTGCTTGAACCTGTGACTAAGAGCTGTTCCAAACCGACAGAGCTCAGCAAACGCCTGTCTTGATTGGTCACTTACTTCCAATTGATGTACCAAGATCCGAAGTCCTGTTTGTACGGCATCAACCATCTGGCTGGGTATATGCTTCAGGCCATACGACAGACGATGGATGCGAAGACATTGCGCAGTTTCCTCGGCGGACTTAACCTGGTAGAACCGGGCCTGTCGGACAGAATGTGGCTGAAGGGGGTCATTCAAAATCTCAACCAGATATATGATGGCCTGGAGGCATTTAATCCTGCCCATGATATCAGCACAGAAACAATCACTGGGATGCACGCAACAAGAAGGTAACCATGCTTACCGCAACAGAAGAACTTGTGGGACCGGATTTTGTTGTATTTCGGACACGCTCGGCCATTGTTGCAGCCAGGTGTTCAAACAATCAAATGGTCCTTGGGATTTTCTCCACAGCTCATCACAGCTGGTGCCCCGGGCTTTTTCAGAAACGAGCTTCTGAACATCGACTAAGATTCTGGTGATCTCAGCCAGCCCCTCCCTAACTTTTGGGAGGCAGGCTGGCTTTTTGTCATATGTGATTTTGTTTGAGCGAGGGTACGGGGTCCAGTCAAAGTCTTCATTGCCACACAGTTTGACATCGGATGTAGGATATGGCAAAGGGGCGATTTTCTGCAGCTCAATCGACATTTGTCTGCATCAATTAGTTAGGTATTGCTCGTTTTTCTGAGAAAGGGCAGCGCTTACGAGCTCATGTTGAAGACACCCCAGGCAGTGATCGTGCGGACCCGTTCCATCTCTGGCAACATCTTGTTTTTCGAACCTGCTGGGGCATCGAAGAGTCCTATATCCCGTGCCAGCTGAACAGCTTGACTAAGCATCATCCAGCTTTTCCTGACTCGTCCTTGGCATTTAAATCTGCAAGATATCAATATCCCGAGCGTGGCTTTTTTGCTACAAACCAGTGAACAACATACACACAACACATCAAGAGGAGAGCCTGGATATTAGGCAGGTCGTGGTCATCATCTTCGACTTCCCACAGCCTTTGTGCCTCATAGAAAAAGTTCTGGCCCCGCGAGAACACGTTTTCGGGGGTGGAAAGAACATCAGGGCTATCAGAATAAGCCTATCGGGGTTAGCTAATGGTTTTGAAGCAGGGGCTGAGATATTTGTGGGATCCATACGCTGGCTATTGACAATAAGCTATTGACGAGAAGCGGCGTGCAGAACTCCGATCTTCCGTCACCACGTTTCATATGTTCGAGGAAGACACGTTGATCAAGGAACTGCGAGCATGGGTGATCCCAGGTAAAGTAGAGCGAGACGAGGTGTGAGACCAGATAATCATCATCTGTAACCTTTGTCCACGGCTTTGCCGGCACCTCGAAGAGAGGTATGTCGCAGAGGCTCTCCAGTGTGACGCGAGCATAAGGGCTAACTGTTGGCCATTGTGGAGGTTTTATGTTTGGGATCTCTTCTGGTGAACTTGCTATAGTGCTAGGGTCCGACGGTCGTCTCGCCTCGTTGCCTGAGGTTTCTATGGGATTCTCCCCATACTCTAAAATCGCCATTTTGCTGGCATTCGACAACTCTTGGGGGTCTCCGAACGTCGTGGTGGGGCTTCCAACAGCAAGGGCGATATCTTGAAATGAAGCCTTGTTCCGGATCAAATCCATCACTTTGTCAAACTGGAGTTGATCAGTCGACCCGAGAGTGCTTAACAAAGTCTCTAGTAGGTCTTTGTGATTTGTGAGCTCCTGGATCGTCCGCTTGACGGCAACCTTTCGTCTGAGGTCTCGGCTTGGATCGAAATGACATTCGGTATTGGCGGATCGACAAGCTTTACATGGAGCATCTGGTCCGGAACACTATATTGAGCAGAACGCAACAATTAGCCTGGGTCTTGATTTTGGAAGATTTTTCCAAATTTAGGACAAGCCAGAGAGGGAGGGAGGAGGGGGAAGCGGATCAATTGATTGCACCAACTCACCTTCCTCTTAGCTGCTTTGCATGCCAGACAGGCTGTGGAATTCTTCTTTGGCCTACTGACAGCAGTCGATGTCTGCGAAGCGAACATGCGCGGCGGTCCCGGAGCCAACGCCGGAAATTGCTTCGAGCTCTCGTGGTGGCTCCCCTTCATTTTGGAAGGACCAGGTTTGTTGAGGATGAGTTCCAAAGAGTTGTTCCTCGAGATTTCTGGCCAAAATATACCGAGGTTGAAGCTTTGGCGGCAATGCAAATCTGTTGAAGGGATTTTTCGAATAGTGCAGGTAAATGAACCTCTATACAGCACTCAACCACGGTCCTAAGGCTTCCTCTTATGGGCCATCGAAATTGACGTCTCCAACGTCTCACCAGCTTGATGTCAGAAAGGGGGTAAGTGTCATGTCGCAATGATACGAGCGTCAAAGTGCGGTGCGTTATTTACGCATGAAGGTGGGACACAACTAAAAGAAACTATTCTGGAATCGGTCGAAGTGATCAAAGTCCACCTGCAGGTGACAGGACCTCAAAAGCGAGGGGGACGTGTTGGCAAATAGAAGGGGAGGTTCGACGCCCGTCTCACAACCGGGGTAACCTAGTAGGCCAAGCTGGAATTCGGTTATTGGAGAGCTATTGAATTCAACAACTTGCCAATATAAGTCGATATGCAGATAACGAAGGGGCCATCGAGTCGAGACCTGAGATTGTTGATGCGAGATTCGAGAAGATCGAGGACCGGATATGGAAACCCAGCATGAACTAAAGCACGAGATAACTAAATCCAAAAAGAAAATAAACGGGCGAATAGGAACAAAGAAGGATAAAAGAGTGGAGAAGAAAAGAAAACGAAAAAAAAAACACGCTGAAGGGATGTATCAGTACCAAAAAGAGTATTTACCGCTAATTTGTATTTTGATACCTTCTCGGCTTTACCTTCTTACTCGAAGCCGGGCGATTCTTTGAAGCTTGATCTCTAATTGTTATTATTTAGTTCCACCCCCCTGTTCTGATTATCTCAAGCAACTTATATGCTTCAAACATGGTCCTACCAGGTTTTGGGGGAAGATCATTATCTTGATCGTTTTCTTGTATAGGAAACTCATATGTCAATCACACATCCCGAACTCCACGACCCTCCACGTTCGCCAAATTGACTTTTCTCCGTGAATTTGAATGACATAAGGAACCCTGTACTGTATTGTCGGTTTAATAACCGACGCTTCGCCCCATAGAATCTGGATTCCAACCTGGACCTGGAAAAATGATCCATAGAGCAGGGTCCACATCAAGGCCAGAAATCCCAGTACACTGGTTGATGGGATATCCTGCTACACACTGTAGTACCAGGCACTTGGGTTTCCAATGTGATGTAGACGTACATATGTACTCCGTAGGATCCACGTAGATTCTTGGAACCTTGTCCCGTCCCAGAGTCCTTTCTGTGGATCGAACCGGGATTTGCGGCCAAGGGGAAAGGCACTTGAACCTCTACCTCACTCGATCTACCGATCAACTCGATTTTAGTTTGGATTATAATTTATCTCGATACTTGACTCAAATAATTCCAATCACTACGCCCCTTTGGTCCCTTCTTACTCGATACATCCACATAACATCTTCCACCGTTTTTCATTGGCGGTTAAAACAACAGCCAATCGGACAGTCAGGGAAAATGCATTTTATTTCTTGGCATTATGTCTGTTACTCTGAATATCAAGCGGCCTGGTTTGCATTCTAGCGACACTGCACTTAGGGAGATGTCAGTTATGTAGAGCCACTTGGTGCACTTGGACAACGTTTCAAGGGAATATCTACAAAATATATTGTACTCTGCACGGGTACATCGTATCTTGTATAATGTGTATACTCCACTACTAATATACCATGGAATAATTTTCCCAACGCGATATCTCCCAATGAGTATATTAATCCGGCGCTATTCCACGCAGATTCCCGGGCGGTTCCAATTAGTCTGGTGGTAGTGACCTCCGCGGAAAAGAATGTTTTTCTCAGAGAGGAAAAAAAGAAAAAAAAAAAAAAACGTAACAAAATTAGAGGCAAACTTTTTAAGACTCTTGTCCAAGATAAACTATATATGCTAGCGTCGCGTAGTGCCGCTTACGCACCCGTTATACCGAAGTTCAACTCCTTTAGATCCTATCGCTTAGGACTGTTAGAAAGTATAACACAACATATGTACTTCGCCCCCACGAGTTCCAGCCATGTAGCCAGTCATGTTTAGATACCCCGATCAAGAGCCAGTGGAATCCATTATGCGGCTGAAATCCCCTCTTTTTTTTTTTCTCTCCCGTGTCTTAGGCATTTCCAACCCTCCAGAAATCCCTGCAACCAAAGTACAGTACATGGTGTACGGGGCAAATTACCTGCAATGTAACATAGGTTGCCAATCCATATCACCCGCCTGTGTGATGAAAATCCCCCGCGCCTTGGTACTTATAGTAGACTCCTACCAAAAGCAGACTTAGCGCGAGGATAATACGACATAAACACGCGGTTATCCTATAGTCTTAGTATGCTTTTAGAATTTAATATCCTAGATTAGACTACTTTCAAATTTGCATATGCTGATATAATTTGGGTGGATCATACTTCGATATACGAAGATGTATGTCGATGTATAAGGGTTGATGTCATTTGCTTCAATGTTATCAATGTTATCAATTCGGAAAAAAACAGCCAGATCTCTTTGGTTGGATGTTTTCACCGTTAGCGGTCGCCCATCTTAGCCCCGCTTTTTACTATATTTGTGTATTTGATATTCGGGCTTTGAATGTGCTCTGGATTATACAATATATTTACTTAGTATAATTGCAATATAAGTTCTGTAGAAAATCTCCTTTGAGCTTTTTATAAGTTAATTTATAATTTTTTTTTACTTTCAGATAATCACGGCCCGTCAATGCATTGCAGGTCCACTGGTGGTGGTTAATCTTTTTCCCCCCATCTCTCAAGCTACTACTTGCATATTTCCGCGGGGTTGGTTTTTGACATCTGCCATTCTACTACGTGTTTGCTTTTTTTCTTTGTTTGTCCCTCTGCGGAGTAAATCATTTATCTTTAGGATAAGATCAGCCAGATCCAATCACTATGAGTTTGCGACTGATCACATACATCAGGTTATGACGCTCGGTCTTTGCCTTAATTTATGTGTCAAACTCCTTGATTTTGACCTGGTCGGTTCTGCATCCAATCGACGGATACCAACAAGCGATGTTTATGGCGTAAGCACATCTTAGCATCCTGTCTACACCATTAGCTTGAGAGCTGTCACATATCAAGGCAGCACTATCCTTGAAATTGGTAGATCATGTTTACCTTAACGTATTCCATAGTTAAGCGAGCTAGCCATATAAGCAAGCTGGCCACCCCAGGAATTAGATCTTAGTTAGTTTAACCACCCACCATGCCACCAATTCCCTCCCGGAGCTCTAGAAATTCAATAGAGTAAGAGGGTAGGATTTTACTAGCTATCTAAGCTATTTAGAACCAATAAACCTCTTCAATTCGTGAAGTGGCGCGCCGTTTTGATATCCTAAGATCTACCCTTTCTACCCGCCTTAATGGCGTGCAATACTGCGCGAATTCTCGCGTAAATCCGTCCAAATTGGCGGAAATTAAAGAGGAATCTCTGCAAAAATGGGTTCTCTCTATGTTGTATGGATTCTCATGGAGTAGGCCCTCTATGGTACGAGAAATAGCGGATCTTCTCGAAAAGCGTGGGACTACCAGTTCTTTCGGTCGGCGAAAAATAGGTCTATATAACTTTGTGAAACGGCGTCCTCTCCTCTCCCGATTCTCGAAGCGATATAATTACGAGCGCGCGAAATGTGAAGATCCTAAAATCATTAAGGAGTGGTTTAATTTAGTTCAAAAGATAATCCGTTAATTTAGAATCGACTCCGATGATATCTATAACTTTGACGAGACTGCTTTCGCGATAGGATTAATAGCCACAGCGAAGGTTATTACACGAAGTGAATACTACGGTCGGTAACCACTTTTATAACCTAGAAATCATGAATGGGTGACTATAATTAAGTGTATAAAATGCTTCTAGGTGGGCGCTTCCTCGTATGATTTTAAAGGTAAAGTCTTTCGGCCTCCCGGAGAATTAGCGCTTCGAAGTTAGTCCTAATGGCTAGACCGATGAAATTAGACTTTATTAGCTTAAGCTCTTTATTCCTACTTCTTCACGTACGAAGGGGGAGTATCGGCTTTCAATACTCGACGGCCACAGAAGTCATTAACACCTAAATTTAACGAAATTGTACGAGTAAAATAAGGTGATACTAATCTATATGCCAGCGCATTCATTTCATCTTTTATAACTGCTGTTTTGCGGTATTAAAACGCTCGTACGGTCGGATGGTTGAAATGAAAATGCGGAATAGGATCTCAACCATATTGATAAACTTAACTTCCTCGAAGCATACCCCCTCGCATGAATTAAAGCTTTTAAATTGGAGACTATTGAAAATAGCTTCGAAGTACTAGCCGGGTTAGTCCCATTTTTACCTGAGAGTGATTTTAAAGCTTAATATCCAGCTTCGAACACAAACCCCCCCTCCGAGCCGGGGGAGCGAATTAAGCCAGAATTTTACACTAAAATCCCCATTTATAGAGAAAGAACTACATCGTTAGGCTTCGTTAATTAAAGCTTTATTTCGTATAAGGTCTCGCAACCCACTAGTCCATCAGATCGTGCATTAAACCAGCTTATAAAAGGCTTCCGTCTTATAATGTAAGGTGCTGTCTTGCTCGCTAAATAAAATAAAGAATTACGCGCCGCTAACGAGAAGCAGAAGCAAAAGTGTACTTGATCCCGAAGACAGATACCTGCCGAAGAAGGTCTTTCGGTCTAAGAAGCCTCTGCATTAATTTGCAGCAACATGAAGCAAGTGAAGCACCTCCCCCGGGTCCCGATATACCTGGAGAATCGGCTGTTCAGCCAGCTACGCGGGCCGGCCGGGCGTGTAGAATATACAGGTCACCAGGGCATAGAAGAGAAACATGTCCAGATAGATAAATGAATTTAGTTGAATTAATTTAATGGCGGGTGGCCAGCTCCATATCCCGAGACAACACTCCGCATAGTGTTGGCTCTATGCCAAGATCTTCCAGCTTTTCAATACGACC